ATTAAATAACCTAACCGTCTACCGGACCAAGTAGCGCAGTGTGACGCACTGCATGTGCTTTAGAATTCCGCAATAGCGATTGGTAACCACTGCCGAAATTTCCGCAAACGGCCGACGGGGTAATACGTAAGTACCCATTATGAGTTTTTTTTAGAAATTTATTATAAAGTGGACTGTTTTTTTACTTCGCCTGCTGGAGATTGGGAGGGAGCTGTTGCTAATTTATGAAACTTTTGTCAGGAATCTATTGTCAGTTCTTCCAAAAACGTATTTTTCATATTTATTTCCGTATTGTTTTAAACTGCTGATAGTATGAAAAAGGTCTGTTCTCTAACGCAAAAAATCGCGTAAAAAGAAATAAGTTTGTTCTCAATGGAATAAACGACCTTATTGCACAAAAATGTGTTTGTAATAGTGTTGTTATAATTTATTTGTACTAGCTTAAAGGTGCTTGTAAAAATTAAAATTATAATTTTGAAATTTCCTTTGGTTATCTTATGCCTTTAAAAAAAAAGGATTAACGGGATACGGTAGCTGAATTCGTTATTATTACGCTGTCGTGTTCATTGCCGCTTTTTCTAATCTTAGCTCAAAAATTTCTGAACTTTTCCGTAGAAGATTTGCAGCGTGTCACATAAAATTTCTCTATACGTATCTTTCTCATTTTTTAACTTTTTAACTTTCTCATTTTTTAACTTTTTAACTTTCTCATTTTTTAACTTTTTAAGACAATATATATGTATACTGGGAAGGAGAATCGTTCATTTATTAATGTTTCATAGATAGCTAATAATGTTTGCAGATTAATAATTATATTTCATTCGACACTGCCTGGCTGAGGGGGAAAAAGTGACTTAAAGGGATATAAAAACATAATGTGCAGTCACACATGGAGCATTCAGAGTGACACTAATCCAAAAACACAAGGAAAAAGTAGTTCTGAGTACTGTATATACGTAAGGGAAAACTTGCATTGAGAATGGAGCAATAAAAATAGGCCACTAGTTGTTATGGAAACGTTGAATTTCATTTTTGCGATTCAGCTATTGTTCTTGCTTTATTTTGATGCCATTACCTTACAGCATAAACCTTGGCTATTTTATTTCTGTAGGAATAAATAAATAAAAGATAAAATAAAATAATAATAAAAAAAAAATCCACCGTTATTTCCTTCACATGGTACATTCAGGGTAATCCTTCAAAAAAAGAGCCCCTTCGAAGTTGATTTATTTTCGTTATAATAATATTGCGCCCCAAACATTTCTCACTATAATGTTAACAGATGTTTATTTGCTTTAAACTATCTCGATTTAACCATCACATCCGCTGCGAAAATGACTCTAAGGTAAAATTGCTAATATTCAACAGTTCTGTCATTTCGGTCAGCCATTATTTCACCTGCGATTGGAGAGAGGACACCATTTCGCCTGTTTTTTCTTCTTTGAGCACGCATGTGAGTAGTAGTTTCTGTTCAAGAGTTGTAAGGATGTCCAAGGATATTGTAAGGATTGTTCTGTCCAAGAGTTGTTAGGATTTATTTATTTTTAACTAACCAATTATTTTATTGTTCAGTAGCTTTTCTATCATTCTCGCTTTCCGTTTTCCTTTTATTGTGAAATGAGAAAGATTCATTTATTTCCTTTTATTCTACCATTCACATCCTCTACTTCGTTTTGAAATGCTGTCGCTGCTAAGCCAGCCTCTTGGCAGTTTTTATCCTTTACGAACTGAAGTGAACTGAAGACTGAAATAAACTAAAGAGACAGTAGTGTCAATAACGAACGAACTGAAGTGAATTGAAGACTGAAATTAAACTAGAGAGCCATGCAGTGTCAATAACGAACGGAAGCAGAGATAAGCGCTGCTTACCGTATTTGTAATTAATATTCTTCTATCGTTAAAATTCTTTGTAAGTAATAAAAGACTTTTGTTAAAGGTGTTAAAAAGGAACTTTCCATTTTTAGGTTGGTTACGAACCGAAAAATGCAAAGCTTAGGTTTAAGTGGAAAGATCGGGATTCATTCTGGAAGATTTATTTAATTTAATATTATAAATGAAAGGATGGTTTAGAAATTCATGCTTCCAATTCTTTACAAATATAAAAGAATAAAGCACGATTGTCGTATATTACTTACATTCATTTGTAAATGAAGACATTCATTTGTAAATGAAAAGTCCAAGGTTCATTTCTTGCATTTTATTTGTGAGGTTATGAAAATAAATGTGGTCAATTAATCGTCAAACTTTAATGTGGCATTAGAAAATTTGGGACAAAGTTTGAATCCTAAACCATGTTTACGATTGATCCGTAGGTAAATGGTAGACGGCCTTTACCAGAAATTTCAATTGCATTCCATCGTAGCCAAATGCCTAAAATAATGGACCTAGTAATTTAATTTCAGATTCGATTCTCAATAATAAAAAGCAGCTGTATATATTACTGTGTATTTAAGGAGAGGGGGCGGGTTGTGAGGTCTATGTCATCATATATCTGTTTTATTAGTTTCCATTTATATGAGTATTATTTTTAAAATATTAAGATTTTATCTGCAAAGTTGTATTGCTTCTATCTCTTTGTTATTTCAGAATGTTTACTTAATATTCCTTCTTACGTAAATTATATTGTATGAAATGAGAATATCTATCCGCCCCGCAGAGCAATCCGTAAATTTAGCCATGTTACTTTTGAGTTGGCTGTGGAACCATTTTTGTAATCTTATGACGTCATCAAAAGTTTTTGAAGTTTCCTATGACGTCAGTATTATTCCTTTTCTTTGTTCGTAGTGACGCTGTTGGTGATTTATTTAAGAATATTTTCTTTTTACTTCCATCTTTCTTTCTGTTCTCTGTCTAGCTATTGTTTATGCTGCGTGCGTGACTGATTTGGCCGATTCGAAATGAGTGATTTTTGTTGTGTTTTATTATTCTTCTTTTTTAATCTTTGCGCTGCGCTAAACGTGTTCTGTAATTTAAACTTTGCCATTGCATACTTTTTGGGTAAGCTGTAAATTAAACATTTTTACGTTCGTAATTCCCCCCTAAGAGTATTGGATGTTTGTTGTTTGTGAAAATGGTCCTAAGTAATTTTATTCATACTTCGTATTTTTGTGTGCCTAATACGAAAGGATCTGTATGATAAGTAAGAGGATATTTTGTTTGAAGACATTTTCACGTTTGAAATTTCTTCAAACCGATATTCGTACCTAAGGTAATTGCTGTTGAGGTAGTCATGTCAAAAGCAGATAGATAATACTCGTAATTCAAATTCAGGACGAAAGGATAGCATATTTATGTATATATTTAAAAAAAAATTAACACCGTTTCACTGTTACATCTGATAATAAATACCCGATACTTTTCATTTGCGTATATTTAAAAAAATAAAGCTAAATTGACCGGACGCCCTTAATGTCGGCCAGCTGACTTATGTACATCATAAGAATGATGTACATGTAAGAACATAATATTTAATAAATACAGGTAATACACAAAATGCTAAAAAAACGCCCCTTTGAACGTAATTTAAAATCTGAAACCATTGAGATTCTTTTTAATTCTTTTTTTAAGTAATTTTTTGAAGATGTTAAAAAAAAAGTTGCTGGAAATTATATTTATTCATGTACCAAAACATTTAAACCAAGATGAAAACATAAATATATATCTCTACAATGTATGAAGTTTCATGAAGAAATACTCTTTTACCGATACATGCATAGTAATAAGAATATTCAAAAGTACTGCCGTTACAAACTAGACCATTGAACGATCGTTTCTTGACTTCGAAAGATGAATTGGCAATAGCTGAGAGACAATTAAAAGATTTAGCCGCTTCGACGATAGTGTGTAATATATTCAAAAATACGTATCTTCTGATGACATAAAGATTTGCTGTAGCGTAAGTACGATTAAAAGTTATAAAATAAGTAAGCATATTGGATTTTATCATTTCATTTTGTTTGTTTGTTTATTAATGCAGATCAGTTAACGAAAGTAGTTTTGAATTGTGGTTTTCTTGAATTTATTATATTAAAAAAATACACTTTTATAACTGCAAAAACGTATGTGTTGATTTATATGAAAATAAATATAAGCAAATTATATATTTATTTATAGATGATCTAAATAATAATGAGGAAGAAATTGAACTGAAAATTAATAATAGTTAACCATTTGAAGGCCAAAACGCCTCAGACAACCTTTCATTCAAATGACCGCCACCGCCCGAAACGGCCAAGATTGCTATGTTGTGTTTTCTTCTCTTCCCCTAAGATATGCAGTAGCAGGTGCAGTTTCTCCAAATTCTTTGTACCAGCTTATTGCAAACAGCTTCTTCTAAAAGACTAATGGAAGATTCTTTGTTAAGAAGTAGAAAGGATGTCATTGGAAATTTTCACAGCTTAATAATGCTGTGAAAATGTGCGTTAATGGCAGGAGAGGAAACTGCCATAAATATTGGTAAGACAGGTAATGTACAGGGGCAGACGTTTCGGTAAGCATACAGGTTAGCGAAGGCTTTGGTTTTCTAAGAGTTAAGAAAGGGTTGAAAATTTTAGCCTAATAATGGAAAATCTACTCCTGAGTCACTTACTACCTTGAAATTTGCTAAGCACCTTGGCGTTAATCGAATAATATAATATGTGTTTAATGGATTCTTAGAAGTATTATATCATTGTAAAAATGTCTTCTTATCGCAGAATATTTGAATCCTAAAAGATTATTATTTTTTGATGAAATTTATGGATAGAATTACGTAATGTCTAAAGTTGTTTGAACTAGTAATAAATACATAAAGACTAAATGAAAATCTGCAAAACTTAATTCCAATATTCATTTTGATAACTTTTTCTAGGTATTTGATTATTGTCATTTAATTTTTTATTTTCCAAAGAATAGGAGTATAAAATTAGTAAATGTATCTGCTAACGCACGATAATAATAAGTGTGATTCTAGAAATTTCACTTCCCAATTTCTGATTTTTCTCTTTCTTTTAAAAAATTAGATTAAAGCCTGATGAGACTCTGGGCCAGCTGGAAGGAGAAGCCAGTGCAAGTCCTACCAGCAGGAACAAGCCAGTGGAATTGGTTTTTAAAGATGTATGCGTATCACACGATGGCAAACAAATCCTCAGGGATATTAGTGGACTGGTCAGACCCGGGGAGCTCCTTGCTATCATGGGACCAAGCGGTAATGTATTAATTATTTCGTGTAGATTTGACTGTAAGAAATAACTGTGTTATATTACTGCAGCACGGAATTTAAAAAGAAAAATGTGTGTTTGTCTTGAATAAGATTTTGTTTTAAGCGTTGCCATTTACATTTCTCAAATATGTTCGTAAGACGATTTTAAATGTTGCTGTTTACGACGTATTATTTTAAAGATAACATAAATTTATAAATAATTCCTTTATTATTATATAAATAATATATAAATTTATAAAATTTATTGAATGAGAATTATGAAAAATAAGAGAAATTTACAAATAATTAAAATAATAATAAAAAAATGAATTAAGAAAGTACTGCAACGTAATATTAGACTTTTCCGACGGATAATTTTAAAGTGGATATTTCTAATGAATTCTATTTGTATTTGATTTTTGATTTTTATAACCTTAATCAGTTACTTATAATTTCATTCCCTACTATAACTTCTCCTTTCCGTTTCCTCACCAGAATGTAAATTGAGTTAGAGAGTATTTAAGCTAAGGTTTTTGGATTGTAAGACAGAGAATGTTTCTGCCCCTACGTAGTGCCAGCTCTGATGAGTTTCTAATTATTCGGCTTTGTGTTATTGCTGCCGAATTCGCTGGTTAGAGTTTTTGAGCCAGCCTAGCTTTACATTTAATTGCGTAGGCATTGACTACTGGTCAATGTTTTAAATCTGAATTTAACTGCAGTTACTTTAGCTATACCGCCAAAACTGGTGATTGATTCTGTTAGCACAAGATGGGCATTTATGTTCAAAGTTTTGTTTTAAGAAAAATGTTGGTTTAAATCTTTTCATGTCTCTGTAAATACTTCTGACACTATGATAATTCGCTTTATGTCTGTTAGGGTTTGCTTTAAGTGATTACGGCAAGTTTCAAGGGCTATGTGCCTAAGGATTGGGATGCCTTCGTGGAGGACTTTCTAAGGGAAGCTGGCTCTTATATATGTTACACATGGGGAAAGCGACGAAAACCCCCATGCAGCCAGCCTGCTCTCTAGATTCGAACCTCGGACCGAACTACCAGTGTTCAGAGGCATTAACCTCTCGGCCACTGGTGGGCCCTTATGTCTTCCGTTAGGAGTGTGGAACTAGTTTATGTTCCCATAGGGTGGGGATGGGGGAAACTCCACAAACCTTGAACTTGATTAAATTACAAGTCCAAATGTAATTAAGTTTAATGTTAAAGTTGTAATTATAATTTTTCATGTTCTGTATTTACGCAAATAGGATATTTATGTACTGGCATGATCTGAATATTTATATTTTTATAGGTTCAGGGAAGACAACACTCCTTAATGCAATTGGGGGTCGAGTACACATGGACAGTGGACTCGTCACGATGAATGGAGAGGAGTTGAATAAGCAGCTACGCAGAAAAATATGCTATGTCCTCCAACAAGATGTTTTTTTCACAGATCTCACACTCAGACAGACTCTCATAGTAAGTACCATGCCTTATATATCTTGTCATTTGCACGTGTAAGGATTAAGGAATTTTAATTTATGATTTGTCTAGACTACATAAGCCATCCTAAATGAATACTAGCATTTAAAGGTTATATGAAATTCTAATCTGCTTCTGCTGATTTCAGATTTAATGCTATGGCATAAGAAGTCTGATTATGCAGTTTCTAAATTTTAAGTTCTGAAGAAATCTTTGATTAATTTTTGCAATCCTTTTGCAATAATAATTTACCAATATTTCGGTTTTATCCTTCACATTATCTCCTAAGCACTTCAATTATATTTTTGTTTAAATTCTGCAATTTCTAATTCCCCCTCTTAATCTTGCCTTAAAATTATTTTACTGCATTGTGGACTTTTGGTTCCGGAATTTATTCGAAAAGCATTTTGGAGCTTAGTTAAAAATATATATACAATTATTTAATTGAAAGTATTCATTAAGCTGTAGTTAAAGTTTAATGGGTTTTGACAAATTACATTCTTCTAAAATTTAAGAAATCTGTAACATCTTTCCGGTTGAATTTGAAAATTGTGAATCAAAACATACAGCAGGGATGCATAACTATTTTTCAGTCGGATTAGGTAAAATATAAAAAATTCTGTATATAGGAATAAAACAAAGTTAATCAAATTCAGTGCTTTCTGCATTTCAGGGTTTCATTTTATACCAAATTTTGTTTAAAAATTGTTCTAATGTATATCTGATGTGGACACTACAATACTTCCGTGTAGGGCCCATTAAATTATGCACATATTTTGCTGCTCTTCATTTTAATTCTCTTTCAATCAATTCTGTTCTCATTTCGCAGAAAGGCAATAATACATAAAAACGCAAAATATCTTCTTAAAAAAGTGTAAAGTACAGAAAAACATAGAACACCAAATGCAGTTAAAAACAGTTAAAAAAATTACAATTAAAATTAGAGCTTCTACGCAAAAACAAACAATTCGCGCAGCGGGTAAGAAGACTGATTTCAGCGGTAAGAAGACACCTAAAAATTTCCTTCTGTACGTACAGAAAAATTGAATGAAAAAGGATTTTTAGGTTACTCTGAACCTTCTTTATTTATAGATGGCAGCTCAACACAAACCAGTCCATATATTTTAGCCATGTTTAATTTTTTTAAGACCCTCATTTTTTAAAGAAATCTTCCAGAATTTTTTTAGGGTATAAAATGAATTGTTTGAAAAGAAATTTCTATGTTATTTTTTTGTCTGTATGCTAATCTCCTTATTCTATATTAGTTTTAAATTTTTACCTTGAAATCTTGCCTAAAATCAAACGGCGAACACTAGATGTGCCCAGACTGGGATCACCGATAATCTAGGACAACTGAGAGTCTGTATTCTTTGTTTCTCCGCATCTCATCGGTCAGTTCATCCACAACAATGCTCGTTTCAGCACTCTTTTAGAAGCTCTATTCAATCAGTGTGCCACTTTGGGCACACCCACAGAATTAAAATGATAAGTGCTAGCTTTACAAAATTTTGTGTACTCCTCTATGCCTAATTAGACTGCCTAACTTTTTTTTAAATCAAAACTCCGACTTTAAAAGGTAGCGTGCCGGAAAGGGTTAAACAGCTTTTAAATTGTTGTTAAATCTACAGTTATTGCATGTAGATTAACTAACTAATTAAGGGAATAAAAACCTTAACCGGGAACAGGAGAACAACATAATTCAATCAGTTTTAAAGCAAAATATGCACAATTTACCAAGAGCTCAACCGGGTAAGAGGATGGATTTATATGTGTGTCGCGGCCAATTGCAACAAAAAAGGAAGATGGTATGATAGCAGTCCCATATGCGAAATTTCAACGCTACTCATAATAAATTAATAATTACGCTATAATGTACGGCTACTTATTTTTGAGTTATGCAAGATACATCCGAACGTACGTAAGTAGAGAATCACGGGGGGGGGTGAACTATTTTTAAAGAAGAAATTCCATCACTGTGTCCCAGCAATCTTCACTGTGTTAAGTTCCAGCCGTACCTCTAAATCTACTGCTCTATTTTTTGAAAAAATGAGAAATGAAACTGGAATGAAAGCTATTCCTTTAAATGCGTCCCACTCAAGTCCTCTGATGTGTCTCCTATGGATTACTGTGCATTTGGACTTCTAAAACAAGCTCTTCATAAGCGGCATCCCTAACTATTGGATGGACTCTGGAAGATTGTGAAGGAGGAGTAGAATAATATCAACTTTGATGTTTAAAAAAAAGGACTTCTATCTTGGGAATGAAAATGTAATATGGTAGTTAAAAAAAAAGGGCTATCAGTCTGAACATATTAGAAAATAAAATTCTAAGGTTTTGTTTATATATAAATCTTTGCAAAATCGGTACAAAAATGTGTGAGCACCCTCTTGTAGATTGTGTTTTTCACTTTTACATTTGCGCTTCACGAGCGTGGTGAAATCATAGCTGCGATGTTGGCGTAATCCTAAGGTCGCCAATTAAGGTGGAGAGCGTGATAATAAGAAAGTACCATTTTGCTTAATTTTTAAGCTGTATCTTTTTTGTTTTATATTTATTTATTTTTTTATTTAGAGCGATTTTAATAAATTGTAGATTGCTGCTGTAAATCAATATTATTCCTCTGTTCGAAAACGTGACTGATTGCTTCTGCAATACTAATATGCTCTCGAAATACTTAAAATAGAAAAGGGCGTTTTCGGAGGGGTGGGAAAGAATCCCGGAACTATTTTTTCGTGTTACAAAAAATATAAAGATGTCTCCGTTATACATCGCCAGCAAATCCCAATGCAGGGCTTTCTGCGGCTTTTATTATTTCGGTTGCATTTATACGTAACGGGACTTGCGTAAAAAGGAAGATTACGCCAACTTTCTCTGATAATATGTTCCTGAAAGTGTGAGTGGGAAGAGAGAGAACTACCAAATACCCCTCCCCCCAGGCAAAAGGAACGGAGAAGAAAGGAACAAAATGAGAATAAAATCGGAACGCTTTTTCCGTAGACCGAATGTTTGGCGCAAGGTTATTTTTAGAAAATATTCGTAACAGGTGATTTTGGGGACAATTCTTAGAGCATAGGTGGGGGCAGGGGGCACTCTCCTTGTGACCCTGCGCAGAAAGTGAGAGGGAGACATTTTTCCCCATGGCGTTATTTTTTCCATCTATATCTAGCTTTCTGTTTTTCCTTTTTTTAAATATTTTTTTTTATTATTATTAATACTATTACTGTTATTCCCCCTCTGTTTTCCCCCTTCTTCCTTACAACCTTACTATTTCGAGGCCGGGTGAAAGTTTCTTTCGCAGCTGAAAAGGAAATGAAATTTTTCTGTCTTTGTTGGCGGGATTTTTGGGAGGGGGTTTTGTTATGCTAGTCTCCCGGCATGGAAGTGTTGTTGTTGTGCTGTTGTTACTTCTGCTGTGTGTTGTTGATTTGAGCTTGAACTTTTTTTTTTTTCTGCTTTGCATGAGAACGGAGTTTCCGAAGACAAGTGACCTCTAGGGCGTTGACCCGGGGCGCTTTCTCATCAAATACAGATATATCGTATGGCAGAATGTATTATCAAAAGTGCGGAAACGACCATGTTTTCCTGATCATATGATTTCTAGAAATTTGGGAATTCCTGCATGAGTAATTAATTTATTTCTCGAGACTATAAGCTCCCTTTTAGTAACACTCAAAAAAATCTTATGTTTAAAAAAAAAAAAAAAAAAAAAAAAAAAAAATCTAAAAATAAGATTTTAAAATAAAATAAAACAAAGTGATTTAAATTCATGTAAAATGGAACGGGGAATATTCAGTTATTTTGTACTTCTATTTAATATTATGGTAATGAAAAAGTATTTATTTCAAAATTACTAACAATTGTTTGGCAAATTAGTTGAATAAACGTCCAGATCCTGTTCATTTATACGCTAAATGCATCATGTCAAAGGCACACAAAAAATTAGAAATAAAGTTTTAATAAAGTTTTAATATAGTTTTTTAATTAAATAAAGTTTTAACTGTTTTTAAGTCCCTTTTTTTTTTTTTTTTTCCCTGAGAGGGGGACAAAAAGAGTACTAGGCCCAAGGTTTTGATAATTCTTCTTCATTTATTTAAAGTGTATAAAAAGAGAAATAAATAAAGTATAATCGTACTCTCTTCATATAAAAATTGCAGTATTGAAAGTTTGATCAAAGTAATTTTTTGCATTATTCGAATAAATCAGTATTTTATTTTGAATGTGCATTTTGAATTTTAATTTAATGAACAACTTTAGCAAATTTTTTAACTGAGATACTGAATACAGGCTTTTCTTTATTTAATAGAATCATGAACGAATAAAATAATCCCGCTGCGCTTTAACCCGTGTCTAGTATGATTGAGAAAAAACTAAAAATAGACTAAAAAAACGAGACATCTAAATCTACGGAAATATTCCTGACTCGGAACTATAACCGCCAATCAGATTTGTCGAATTCAATTATACGCATTTTTTCCTTTTGTTTATTTGACTTCATTAGGCGATGTGTCCATATATTGTAAGTATAATGGCAACAGTAGAACCCGTGGGGTTCAATTTTTTGGTTTAAAGTTAAAATCGAGGTAAATAATAATAACCTTTTTTCTTCGCCTTAAAAAATGTACCAAATAGAAAATAAAAATGTGCTAGTAGTTTTGTTTGAAAACCTTGTTTCTGAACTCGGCTTGCTTCGAAACCAGTTTTTTGTCGGTTGGAACGATTATGTAGTTAGGTAAAGAAAGCTACGTTTCTAAAGTAGTTAATATGCGATGAGTGTAAATAGCGCGGAAAGGCCTTCCCCCCCTTCGATTTCTTTTATCTTTATTTGTCTGGGTTTTACCCGTTTTTTTAGCTTATTGTTTTAAACCTGTTTTTTTTTAGCACTGAAATCGAAACGAAGTTTATATATCTCATATCTTTAAGATTACGGATGTTTCGAATATTGTGCAGTTTTAAAAATTCTGTAGATTGACATACGAATTCCTTTAGCAACAAAAATA